CGGCATCGGAGGGGGCGAGGGGACCACCAAAATGTTCTCGCGGACCACCCGTTGGCGACCGCTGTGCTAGTGGATGCCCCCATTGCATGTTGTTTGACTTTCCTCCATCCCCGACAGGCTGGGAGCTTCGCCATTATTTCATTGGCTGTTTTTGTTCCCCATCAAGTCGTATCCGCAGAGGGTGAAGGACGCTTGGCTATAAAGTAAATGTATTTGACAACTTAAAACACGATACAGGAAAACCTTCATCACTGGTTTGGTTCCCCCTTTCCTGAGCAGATCGAATTGAAACCCAGATGTCCAGGTTAACATGAGAATAACACTAAGGGGGTTATTCACAAAGCTACCGCAGGATATAGCCGTAGCTTCGGCCCCGGGACCCCTTCGGTTCAGGGCTGCTGTACGGGCTATTCAGTATAGCCCGTACCACCCCCGAAGTTGGCCGAGGGGCTCAGTCGATAGGAAGGCATATGCTTCGGCTCGACTGAGCCCAGGGGAAATTCAAAGCTGGCCGAACGTCATCTCACGGCTGGCTCCGGCCACTTGCAGAGAGATCAGCGCCCCTTGGTTACCGGGTAATGCCATTTGTATCCCAGGGACGCTGTTCTATCATTACACTGAGAACCCGTCGGAGCCGCAGTGATATCACAGCGGCTCCGCCGGGTTCTGTGTGTAATGACAGAAGGCGTCCCTGGTTACCTGGGCCCATGGTTACCTGGTAACCAGGGACGCCTTCGGACATTACACTGCGGCTCCTCAGTACACGGAGAACCTGGCGGAGCCGCTGTAAAATCACTGCGGCTCCGACGGGTTCTCAGTGTGTAATGACAGATGGGCATCCCTGGTTACCAGGTAACCATGGGCCCAGGTTACCAGGGACGCCCATCTGTTACTACGACGAGAGCTTAGGAGAGCCGGCAGTGACATGAAAGCCGACTCTGCAAAGCTCTCATCTTAATGACAGAACAGCGGCCGCTGTTCTGTCAATAGGATGAGAGCTTAGCAGAGTCGGCTTTCTGAACGATTCCTGAACGAGAGGGTCTGGTTGCTAAACATGAAGGTTTGGTTCCTGAATGGGACTGATTGCTGAATGGGAGAGTCTGCTTCCTGAATGGGAGGGTCTGATCCCTAATTTGGGGGGGATCTGATCTCATTATAGCCACCTGGTGAAATCTCAGTGTTCTGTTGAGGAAAGCTGCAATGTCGGCATCCCTTTAGCAGTCTTTAACCCTTAGGGAGTGATATTTCTGTTGAAGGGAATGCTTAAAATGTGACTTGCATCTTAGAGCAGGCGCCGGAGGAAACTAATGAGCCAACCAGAGAAGCAGGAAATGACATCGCTGGGGGCCACCAATAGTTCACACAACGCCTTCATGTTGCCATGTTGCACTGAATTTTTTTTACGTTTTAGAAAATTACATCGTCTGCAGCCTGAAATCCGACGCGTTTTTCACAAAGAACTTTTAAATACATTTTTTTTATTACTATGATGTAAAAAAAAACATAAATAAAATAATCAGGATCATTATGACCCACCAAAACCTTAAAGGAGAAGTATGAGGCGAGCGAAAATCACTCACCTCGTAGTTCTAGCTGACCTGTGACAATGAGACTGTCACAGGTCGGCTCAGTAGATCGGGAAGTGAGCGAACACATACCGGCGTTCGCTCACCTCTCGATCCTGTCCCTGCAGAGAGCCGTGACTGTCACTCACAGATCCCTGCAGGTATTCCCCCCCCCTCCCCTATCCTCCAGTGCTGAGAGGCAGAGCCAGCTGTCACTCACGCAGCTGGGTGGATCCAGACAGTAATGTCGGGATCCGTCCCGGCTGCGGCGGTCTCAGTATATAGAGAGCTGTAGCTCGCGGTATACTGAGCTTAGGGTGACGGGAGGACGCTAGTTTGTGTCCACCCGTTACCCTGAGGAGAACTATGGGGAAAAGCACTGACCTCATAGTTCTCCTTTAGTGCCCATTCACACTGGGCGTTTTTTCTCGCAATTTCCGCCGCGATATCGCGAGAAGTCGCCGTCCAATGACTTTCAATGGAGCCGTCTTAACGTACAGCTCCATGTCGCCCATCGCGCCTGCAGGACCCTTTTTCCTGCGGATGTCGCGCGATTTTCCTTTTTTTTTAATGCAGCCCGACGGTGAAGGTCGCCCGAACCGTTGCGCTAACCCGCCGCGTGGAAATCCGCGCGAGGTGAGTGTCGCTCAGTGCGAATGGGGCCTTAAACATATTATTTTAAAAAAAAAGCTTCTTGCTGTTTAAATGGCTCGTACTTGGGTTAGGGTTTCTTGGCTTCGTCAGGGTTAACATTTCTATTTGCTTCTCCTTCTTTGTAATGTTAGGAGGGGGGCGGGGCTGATAGGGTCTGTATTAACCCTGTCTGTACTATGCTGGCTCATTTCAATATAATTGTAAAGTAGATCTAAACACTGCCTGTCCTAATAAAGAGTTAAGAGGACTGCAACCCTCGCTTCTGCATTGTATGTTAATGAAGTTAATGAGAGAAACACAATCCTCAAATTTCAGTCCCGAGTCTTTCTATAAGGACAGATCACTGTGAAGGTGCTCAGAAAAATCCTGGAATCAGCCATCTTACCTGCTGCAACATTACATCTAAGGGGTAAGGGTTTTTTTTTGTAAAAGTGGAAATACACTTTAAGGTTCCAAGGGGGAAGTCATCGTTCCTGGTGCAAAAAAATGTCTGAAGGTCAGCAGTTTGATCTCACCAACTACGTACTTGTTTCAGGACACCAAGTAAGGAGTGCAGCTAGTCCATGACAGTCATGCTCACAAGAGGGTTGGCAATGGAAGTGCATAGATTTGTCTCATGAAAGCCCCTTAAGACTAGCGACGCGGCAGCCTATAGACATTTACATTTGGAAACAAGCCCTCACTGACCTCTGTAGCTGCAGGAACCGCGGAGTAATTCATCCTCAAACTTCACAGCAGAAGCACTGAAGTCCTTAAGGACCCGTGCACATTATAATGTGCTGTGATAACAGATGCACCACAGCACGCATCAACCGCAGCCCACTCATACTGAGCAAAAACACATTAAGTGGCATTTACCAAAATCTGGACCATCGGTCCATGGCAACCGATCGGCTTCTATCTTTCATTTTCAAGGCTTAACTGAAGAGAGAAGCTGATTGATGGTTACTATGGGCAACTGCTCCAGATTCTGTTAAATTCCCCCCATTTACTTTTCATTTTAGCAGCTCAGCTTGTTCTGCTCCCCCCTCCCAGAAAAGATTGGTAGTGACTGACAGCCTATGAACCTTCTGACTCCAGACTTGGATGACTTCTATGCGTGGTAGATTGTTTTAGTATATACGCTCCTCAAGTGTATTATTTATCATATGCTGACAAATGGACAAAAAGGTCAATTATTCCAAAATTCATTTTCCAATTCTAAAACTAATTTGCATTTTTTTTAATACTGCAATTGTATCTGACAGTATTAAACAGGGTCACACAGTCATCTTCAGGCTGCAGTAAGGAGAGGTTAAGTTTGTGAATAAACCGCCAGCTGGCAGGAGATCAGCAGGATTAGCTGTTACGGTGATCACATGGGTCGGGAACCACGGTGATCACATGGGTCGGGAACCACGGTGATCACATGGGTCGGGAACCACGGTGATCACATGGGTCGGGAACCACGGTGATCACATGGGTCGGGAACCACGGTGATCACATGGGTCGGGAACCACGGTGATCACATGGGTCGGGAACCACGGTGATCACATGGGTCGGGAACCACGGTGATCACATGGGTCGGGAACCACGGTGATCACATGGGTCGGGAACCACGGTGATCACATGGGTCGGGAACCACGGTGATCACATGGGTCGGGAACCACGGTGATCACATGGGTCGGGAACCACGGTGATCACATGGGTCGGGAACCACGGTGATCACATGGGTCGGGAACCACGGTGATCACATGGGTCGGGAACCACGGTGATCACATGGGTCGGGAACCACGGTGATCACATGGGTCGGGAACCACAACTCATTGTTAGTAGGAACCTTTAGGCCCCATTCACATTTTGTGGCGTGTGTGAATGTGTGAAATGACGCAACACGGGAAAAACACCTGTGATTTTTCCCATCTCTAATGTCAGCACAAATCAGGTGGCCAACAGAGTGCTATGTTTAGCTTTGAAAGACTTTAGGTCACCTCTTGAGAATGAATTCCTCCACAGTGCCTGCAGCTACAGAGGTCAGTGAGGGATTGTTTTAAAGAAGATATAAGGAGTACAAATTCCCATGGTCTGGCCATAGTTCCCTTTTACATAAACAGCTGTTCAGTCTGTGAAGGTTCTCTCAATGGTGTAAGTACATGTTGTAGGGCGCACCGTCTCTTGAAGGCCAGAAGACAATCTTGGCATTTTCAATCCCCGATTCATAATTCCAATTGAGGTGAACGTGATCACCATGAGGAGTCTTTGCCGGTCTCTGGCCGTCTTCCATAATAGTAAAGAGTCTTCATGTTGAACGCCTGGGTTGTGCTCTGGACAGTAGTCGGCAGTCCGGGTATCTGGTCCAAGCTCTGTGGAGAAGACAAAATAGAGTTTTTATGATGAGAAACTACAAAATGAAATCCAATCACCAGGAAAAAAATGGAAAAAGTATTGAAGTGGGTTTTTCATCCCCATGTCTCAGACAGCTTTGAAGCAGGTCAACTGCACCTGTCAATAAATTCTGAGGGCTCTCATAAGCAAGCCCAAAGCCCATCAAGGAAAGCCCAATGCCCAAAACCCATCAAGGCAAGCCCAAAACCCATCAAGGCAAGCCCAAAACCCATCAAGGCAAGCCCTTACATTGAATTTCCAAGATAGTTACACAGTTTTAACTAAATCAGTTCATTCACTTTGCTAACCAGCCCTTCAATGTGAAAGCTCCCCCAATGTTCACAATGTCGTAAGAAGAACATTATCCGACATCCAGAATGGATTCCAGGTAGGTGGGCTCCTCTCACCTCTTCCATGCTATTCTGCCAGCTTGACCCTCTCGGCACATTGCAGGAACTCGGTGACATGTCCGGAGCAGTTCTCCACCGCCGTTTGGTTCTGCTTCAGACACTCTTCGAAGGCTTTAAAGGGAGCTGCACATTGAGAACGGATCTTCTGTATGATGGGGCTGGAGGACAGGAGAAGAAATGGAGATCTGTAACACAATATATACCACATCGTACTAATGACGAACAAGGACCGGTCGGCGGGTTATTAAATAATGACCAAACGGCTTCTGATGCCGGGAACTCTGCAATGTATTCTTTCACAATACGATACAATGTCTCCGGTCCTCACCGGGCACTACAATGGTGGTGATGAGGCCAGTCCGATCTCACCTGTGGGGTCCATATAAGTGTTTGGAGCACGCCTGCCGAGTACAGAGAATACAGAGGTATCTGGCATCAGACCCAACGGCCAGACAATACAGCAGTACTCCTAGGAGATGATTTATAAATCATCTGCCGAGACATATGCCGTTCACACAGCATTCTCTCCACTAGATGGAGCCGAGGAGCATAAGAAACCAAGCACAGCCTCATGTCCTGTATATCACCCCAGAATGTACCGGAACTAGGACTTACATGGCAGGGATTACTGGAGGAGTGAGTGTTCCCTGGCAGGCTATATTTGCATGTAGAATGCTGAGCCTCCATGATTGAAATCCTATAAATGAAAAAGGGGCGGGGCCAGGAAAGTCAGGCTGGGGAGGCAAGACTGGATGATGCTGGATGTCCTCTAGCAGGAAATGAGGCGGGCTCTATCTAAATTGCTGCATCTTCTAATGCACATTGTGAGAAGCTCTCAGTGTGCAGTGATATCAGAGGAGAGGAGCCGCTACCACTGTGCAAGACTGAAGGGAAGGCTGGAGGTCAGATGTAAGACTGAAGGGAAGGCTGGTTGAAGGGGAGGACGGAAGTCAGATAGAAGACTGAAGGGGAGGACGGAGGTCAGATATAAGACTGAAGGGAAGGCCGGAAGTCAGATATAAGACTGAAGGGGAGGACGGAGGTCAGATAGAAGACTGAAGGGAAGGCCGGAGGTCAGATAGAAGACTGAAGGGAAGGGTGGAGGTCAGCTTCAGCTACACACGTCCTTAACATGTTTAAAGTGGTATTAAAGTCAAAAGATTTTAAGTTATTTCAAATGCCACTTAAATCCCTTACAATGGATGTTTAGACGTTTTATCTTCCTGCAGAATCCGCCGGTCCCCTGAGCACTGGCCCCGATATCCTGCATTAGGGTGGCCCCCTTTCTCTCGCAGGGTCCTATAGAGTCACCCTTGTGTGTGCTAGTAAGCTGTGTGTGACACACCAAGACAAGCCACTCCCCTTTCTCCTCTGCTCCCTCCTCCATGCTAGTAGATAGGCGGCTACTGTAGACTGCTCTTGTCCCTTGTGATCTTGTATTGGGCAGGAAGTTCAGGGAAGCGGAGCTGAGAGAGTCGGAGCCAGATCTGATGCAGAGAAATTCACGATATTTAAATGCGAAGCTTTCGATTGGATATTTGATGTTGTGATCACACTGCCACCTAGAGGTCAGATCTGTAGAGGATCCTGCGGGGAAAGCGCCCGATTCCCTCGCCGTACTCTCTAGTGAGACGTTCCAGAGATAAAGTGACATGAAACTCCGGAGATCAATCCCAAAACTCCATCCGAGTCCCCGAACTCCGAGCAACAATGTCTCTGATTTGTGTATCACTCGGCTGTAGATCCTCCAATCATCTCCGACGCTGTCCTTCCTCCTGGAGGGTGACAACCTTGATTTGTATTGAGATTGTAGTCCATCCTGGGGGCGGAGCTTGGATCTTTATCAGGACGAGTGACAGGTGCAGACTTGCTCAGTAATATGGATTCATGTGACAACCCCGCTATCATAGAAGACTGATGGATAAGATTTAAAGGGCACCTGTCACATGATCCCTTATGGTGAGGGGATGAAGCTATGCTAAGGGCCCCGTGTAGAGAATATGTCTGGAATAACCGGGTCCGGAGCTCCTCAGGAAACCAGAAGAGGGTGCAATGAAAACATCGTCCATGCACGGAATCTCGTCTGTCCTCCGTTATAAATGGGATTCAGTGTGACATTAGAGAAAGTCCGGAGGACACCTGGAAGGTGGATGGAAGTCACTCCTGCACCCAGGGTAGCCATCAGTAGCCCTGCGTCCAGCGGGGAGGGGGGGGGGGCGGCCTAAAGCCGTGTAAGGGGCCCTAAAATTTCTGATGGCTGCCCTGCCTGCACCCATTATACTTTCACACCGGCCCCCATGGGTCAGGGGAGCATTTGTGAACCCGTGGTTATAACCCGGGGGCATTCGCACTTCACAACTCATCAAGAGTATCACAAAAGGAATATTAAAATGGTTTTGGTTTTTCTTTTGTAACCTTCTTTTGAACATGCAAAAATGGGGGAGGGGGAAGGTCAACAGTAAGTCAAGGCTTATATTGTTTTAAAGGAGAACTATGGGGTTAAGGCTTTTCCCCATAGTTCTCCTTAGGGTAACGGGAGGACACAAACTAGCGTCCTCCTGTCACCCTAGGTTCAGTATATAGGGAGCTGTAGCTCGCGGTATCCTGAGACGCCGCAGCCGGGTTCGGATCCCGACAAAACTGTCTGGATCCACCCATTGACAGCTGGCTCTGCCTATCTAGAGGCAGAGTCAGCTGTACCCGCTCCCTCCCCCATCCGTTCCGCCAGTCAGCGCTGGAGGATCGGAGCGGGGAGGGGGAATCCCTGCAGGGAGCCGCGAGTGACAGTCGCTGGGATTTTTCCAATACATGTGCCCAGCACTGCTTGCCTGTTTTGCCAGGGCAGTGACAGGTTCCCTTTGTTTGCCTGTCAGACCCCCCCGAGTGTAAACCTTGTGTATGTTCGGTGTCAGAGCTTACACAGGGTTGATGACCTGCTCCCCTCCCCCACGTGACAGTGTTTACACCGGGTGATTGGCTGCTCAGGTCCGAGCACTGCATCCTGGGAGGAAAGGAAGGAGGTCACATGATCCCCCGTACATAGAAGCACCGGGCATTTCAAGATTTGGGCCACCTTGACCTTCAGCTCGTGACAATCGCTCTGCCACGTCCCCGGCTTGGTGGCCACACATTGTCCATATTCATCCAATTCATTCCGGCAATACTTGGCTGTGACTTCCAACGCGGCCTGCCTGTGAGGGAACAGCGGGGGAGGGGGTCACTGATACAATGTCACATAAAGCTGATATAACTATCAATCAATCAATGCCTACACCGGGTTAGTTGTCCCCATCACAGTGCCCCTTTAACATTAGCAATTAATGTAACATGTTTTGCAGACGATGCAAGGGGGCGCTCTGACGGGGGCAGACGATGCAAGGGGGCGCTCTGACGGGGGCAGACGATGCAAGGGGGCACTCTGATGGGGGGCAACTAATGTTCCCCCTCAAACTGATTGCCCCAGTGGGCAGAGTAGGCTGCAGGTCTGGACAGAATACATTACTCCTCCTTCCTCCTGTGATGCTGGGGGGCGGGGCAAACATGTGACATCATTGGTTGGCAGGACGCTGGAGCGCCTAGCATCCAGTGACTGCACTGCGGTTGTCTGTTTGCTGCCACCGGAGAGTGAAGCCAGAACATCCGCTACAGCCAGCCAACCATAACCCGGCACAGGTGACCCATTGCCGTCTGGACAGAACCGCCTCTCGCTCCGTGTCTGGACCCGCGGCCCACCATTTACTGAACCCCAGTCTAGGCTTCAATAAATGTCAGCGTGCGTGTGAAATCCGACGTCCAATACACCTCCCAGGGACAGAATCCTTCACATGGGATGTGCCCTGAAACACAGATCACCTTTCATGTGAGAGTATATAACAGGGGCAGGCGACCTTAGAACTCCAGCTGTGATGAAACTACAAATCCCATTATATCTCTGGGAGTCATGCCTGTGGCTGTCAGAGTCTTGCAATGCCTCATGGGACTTGTAGTTCTACAACATCTGAAAGGACTGAAGTTGCCTACACCTGCAATAGAAGGTCTATGGGCCAATCAGAGAATGTAATGAGAAGTCTATGAGCAGGACTCTGTTGTAGGGATCGGTATTGCGGGGGGGAGGGGG